TATTCCTGCCAACCGACCTCTGTCCTTCCCAGTCCCATAGAGAAAACACCATAGGCTTTGTGATTGCCAGAAGTTACTAGAGTCACAGCCCTAGATGAATAGATTGAGCCATGTCCAGACCGCCGGGCACTTACACGCTCACCTTCTACAGAGTACTAGGAACAATGAAAACATAATTCAATTGTTTAATGAATATGGACTGAATCCAGGTAAGAACATCAGAATATCCGATGCTCTGTGGGTGTGTGGACAGCAACAATCCTCTCAGTGCTCTCTGACCTGAGGAAAACACTGACAGGGAGACTCAGGAATCTCAGGGACAGAAGGAAGGAAACAATGATCACTGTCCCTGAAACAGAACTGAAGGAGAGAAAGAACAGACTCCACAGCTGAAGGACGAAACACAGACAGAATTGAGCGCTGCATTGTGTGTTGTGTGTGCATCTTGGTTACTGTACTTGGTGATGCCATGAACACGACTATGATCTTCTCCACCAGTTAATGCTTTTGGTTTTCCAGGAGACACATAAAGTACCCGAGGCTCATTTTTGTCTGAAAGGGAAGTGGTGAGCCCTGGTGACTCTCTGAGAAGGCATTGGGGAGTGAGTCCAGAGCTGATTTTGTTTTGCCTTGTGCTTGTGAAAGGAGGAACCACATCCTAGCACTTCACTATGTGCACAGAGGCTGAGTGGGGCGCTGTGCTGTGAAGACACATGAGGTGTGTCCCGACACTGGACCTGCAGTGATTCACCCACATTGATCATAATTCCACCTGAGGATTCACCCACTCTCTCAGCTGTTTGTGCACCCGACATTGAAGGTGACTTTATGTTTGTGATTATGGTCAGCCCATGACAAGCATTTTGTGTTGCCAACAAACACATGGTCTCTGTGTTCTTGTTTTAATTTTTCTCACGTAAATAATTTTAAAATCAATGTGGAGCCAAAGTTTTCACTCATTTCATACTTTTTGTGTTCTCGGTCTCTTTTTATTTATTTATTTATTTTTATTTGTGGCGGAGCGATAGCACAGTGGTAGGACGTTTGCCTTGCACACAGCCAACATGGCCGACCCGAGTTCGATTCGTCCACCCCTCTCGGAGAGCCCGGCAAGCTACCGAGAGTATCTCGCCCGCACGGCAGAGCCTGGCAAGCTCCCCGTGACGTATTTGATATGCCAAACACAGTAACAACAAAGTCTCCAATGGAGACGTTACTGAGCCCTCTCGAGCAAATCGACGAACAACGGGAGGGCCTTTACCTTACCTTTACCTTAGTGAAACACCATGAGGTACAGTTGTAGATTACAAATTTCTGTGCTTCGGTTTCAGTTATACAATGATTGAGTACCCATCCTTCCATCAGTGCCCATTCTCCATCACCACTCATCCCAGTCTCCCTCCCACTCCCTATCCCCCATCCTACCCTGCCTCAGTCTCTCTTTTTTAAATGGCCCAATCAATGTAAATGAAATGATGATCAGAATCAAAAAACAACACAAACCTGGGGGAAAATATCTGCCCACGCCTCATCTGATATAAGATTACTAAAACATATATAAAGCACTTATAGAGCTTATCAAGAAAAAATCAACCCCATCTAAAATGGGAGTTTTGAACAGATAACATACTTAAGTAGACTTTGAGGCAGATAATTGAATGAACAAATTCTCCAAAGCTCTTATCAGAGAAATGCAAATTAAAGAATAATGAGATATAACCTCATACCAGGGATAAGGGCATACATCACAAAGAACCAAAACATTCTGTGATGACCTAGATGTGGAAGAAATGCAATACTTATTCTGGTTGGAATTTATCAACAGGATAAACCTCTTTAGAAAAGTCTTGGATACTTCCCAATATATGTATAATTGACCTTCCATGTGACCCAGAAATTCCATTGTTTGTATCTACCCCAAAGGATCCAAAACACTAATTTGGAAATATATTTGCACGTCTATGTTTACTCCATCACAATATTACATTCATAATAGCCAACTATGAAAAAACCTGAGTGTCTGAGAAGAGACAACTGGATGAAATACATTACATCTACATAATGGAATACTATTTGGCCACCAGGGAAAATAAAATCATGAAATTTGCTTATAAATGGATGGACATGGAGATTTCACGCTGAGTGAAATGTGTCAGAAAGAAAGAGATAGATACTGAATAATTGCACTCTTCCATGGGATTTATACTTTTCTAAGAGATCAATATTCAGTGTCAGGAAACCTAGGGGCCTTAATGACAAGTCAAGGTTTGAAAACTTGCTTCATGTGTGTGGGGGGTGAAGGAAGGAGGAGGAGCATTATGAAAGGATTAGGTAGATATGATCTCTCTGGACAAGAACTGAGTATTGAAAGTAGGAAAATGAATATACATAATAACCTTTCAGTGTGTCTTTTGCAATCCATAGACCAGAGAGAGTGAGTGAGAAAGAGAGAGAGAGAGAGAGAGAGAGAGAGAGAGAGAGAGAGAAGTAGAAAGAAACAGAGAGAGATCTCATGCAGGGTCCTAGAGATCAATAAAGGAGAATGATGGCTCACATGATGATGACCAGATTCTGTGTTTGGACCGTCCTTCCTGTCACAACCTTGTGTAGCCAGATGGCGTATTGGAGTATTTCAGGGTCAGGGCAATGAGGACCATACACTAGCATGCGACAGGGATGAATGGATATGGCGTACACTCGAGCAAATAGATGAACAACGTGATGACAGTGATACAGTTATACATATATATAAATTATTGGCAAATCAAGTATATATGTGTATATATATTCGAGGATACATTTGCCTCTTGATGGATGCGATAGCAAAGCGGTAGGGCGTTTGCCTTGCACGCAGCTAACATGGCCAACCCGAGTTTGATTCCTCTGCCCCTCTCGGAGAGCCCAGCAAGTTACCGAGAGTATCTCACCCTCACAGCAGAGCCTGGCAAGATCCGCGTGACGTATTCGATATGCCAAACACAGTAACAACAACAAAAAAAGTCTCCAATGGAGACGTTACTGGGCCCACTCGAGCAAATCAATGATCAATGGGAGGGCCTTTACCTTTACCTTTTACATTTACCTCAGTGATACCTGAGTGCACGCCAGGAGTCAGTCCTCGGAACGCCGGATGTGGCTCAATACCAAACCAAAAGTGCCATAAAAGAATATGATTCAAGATCAACGCTTCTGAAGTGAACAGCCAGGATTCAGTCCTGTGTTAGAGACATGACAAGTTAACACACCTGTGAGCCAGAGTCTCTCCTTGCATGGGGCAACTAGGCTACAGGGCGCACCAAGTCCCTAGAGCGAGCCCCCAGTTGCAGGCTTGAAGGGGTGTAGAAAGGGAAGAAATGGTTGCAGATACACAGAAATCTCTTAGAAACGGGATTTCCTTCTTCAATAAAACTAAATTTTGTTTTCTCAGGAAAATAGAAATTAAAATCAGTATAGGACACAGAAGGTAAAATTGTGCATATTTATCTTGAGGACAGAACACATAACCTATTTATAAGGCAGTAAAACCTGTATGCAGGTGATGTCTCTGGACTTCTTAATACCTCCAATGGAAACCACAGGAGCATTGAGATGGCTTTGTAGTCTCAATGTAGTATCCACTGGGCAGTTACAGGATCCCAGAAATAACCTCAAAGCTCAGGTGTGTCCAAATGTGTTCAGACCACACAGATGTGGGGGGCCCGGAGGGGAAGGTCCTGAAAGGGCTTGACCCCTCCCAAGAGGGAGCTCTGTTTGCACAGAGTCCTGGGACAGGGCAGGGTCTCGTCTCCTCAAACAAGGATCAGAACGTGGACCACTTTATTCCCCTTGAGGATGTACTTGGTGGCTTCCACTAGCCCCTACTCAGCTTGGGTCAGGCCTTCAGCTATAAATTCTAACTCCTCATGAATATGCAAATGACATGAGGGACACTGAGTCAATACAGATGTGTCTGTGTCCTGACACCATCATACAGCAGGCACATCCAGACCTTCTCAAGCCCAAGTGCACGGTCCCCACCATGGACTGGACCTGGAAAATTCTTTTCCTGGTGTCAGTGGCTGCAGGTAAGCGTCCCATGCCTTGGGCTGAGGAACGGGGCCAATCAAGTGGAGTCCACCCACTCCTATCTACTGTCCACAGGTGTGAACTCCCAGGTGCAGCTGGTGCAGTCGGGGGCTGAGGTGGGAAAACCTGGGACATCAGTGAAGATCTCCTGCAAGGCGTCCGGATACACCTTCACGGCCTACTTGATGAGCTGGGTGCGGCAGGCCCCGGGACAAGGGCTCGAGTGGATGGGAGACCTATACCCTTACAATGATGCTACAAGCTACGCACAAAAGTTCCAGGGCAGACTCACAATCACTGTAGAAAAGTCCACGACCACAGCCTTCATGGAACTGAGCAGGCTGAGCACAGAGGACTTGGCTGTGTATTACTGTGCAAGACACACAGTGTGACAACCACATCCTGAGTGTGTCAGAAACCTGAGAGGGAGGCAGCTGTGCGGGTGAGGAGATGACAGGGACGCTGATCCTCCTGACTTCCTTCCTCCCCAGAGAGTCAGGGTCTGAGTCAAAGAATGGAGCTCACAGGGCCAGGCTTTATCTGAGGGAAAGGCTCAGGATCTCTCTCTGTCCTTCAGCAACAGCCAAGAGGAGGATGGCTTCTCTCTAGAACACCTAGTGTTATTCACATTTTCTTCCAGGATTGTCTAGTAAAGTGCCCCAGATGGTACTGGGAGAACCATGTGGTCTTTGGGCTGGGGTCATTGCAGGTTCCTGAACCATGGCAGACTCCAAATGTTACACATTTTCTTTGAAATTCTGTCTCTACAAGAAATCCTTTTCTCTGAGAAGAAATCCTGGTGTTGTCTAGACTCCCTTCATGAGTTTCTGTGGAGACTTACCCCTTTGCACATCTTCATATCTCTCTATTTCTGAGCTGGAATCCTGCTATTGAACAAGAGACAGTGGAGGAGATGACCCTACATGAAAGGGACCATGGTCATATTTCTCCTATCACTTGGTGGTAAGGAAATGGTCGGAGTCAGTTGTCCGTGAAAAACTGATGTTGGGGGCATCTCAGCCCAACTCAGGGTAAGGTCGTAATCCAAGCAGAGACACATGTCTGGGATGTGCCCAGGAGGGCTGGCAGTAGCCCAGACCAGCAGACAGGATCTAGAGGGAGGCCTCGGTTGCAGCTTTCTCTGCCCCAGGACTCATGCACCTGAGCTGAGTTTACTTCCGGTCTGATCTCACCAATTGACCGATAATCCTGGGAAATATATTGCATGGAGTGGGACATTAATTTTGTGCAGTTATTCAACATAGGAATGACACGATCATGATCATCCTATTGTTCGTCGATTGCCTCGAGCAGACCCCAGTAATGTCTCCTTCGTCCTATGCCTGAGCTTTTAAAAAGTGCCATATTCAAGGCTTTTTCAGGGTTAAGAGAATGAGACCCATCATTGTTACTGGTATTTGGCATATTGGGTATGCCACGGGGAGTTTGCCAGACTCTGCCATGTGGGCAGGTAACATTCTGTAACCTGCCAGGTTGTCCAAAGTAAGAATGAGATAATAAGATATCTGGGTTTTATAGTCTCTGGGTCTTGGCCATTGGTGGGATTACACGGCGCTGGGGGTCAGATGGTGGGTGTGACCACTGCTACTGGAAGTTGGAGGATCTGGATGGACGATGCTTGTGGAGAGTGTCTCACCATGGTGGTGGCTGGTCCTGGCGGTCTTCGGCTGCCGGAGCCCTGGTCGGGGCGGGGAGGAAAGCTCAACCCGCTCCCCTCCAAGGGGCTCGGGGAAGGAACACCCAGGCGCGGGGCAGAAGACTGCACTGTTCTCGTCAGGGATCAGGATTTTATCGACTCTGAGTCTTGGCTGCTGATGGGATTACACGGCGCCAGGGGGCCAGGTGGTGGGTGTGACCCCCGCCTACTGGAATTTGGAGGATCTGGGTGGAAGATGCTCGACTCCAATTCGAGTAGGCTTGGAGGTCTTGGCCCTGGAACCCGCGTGGCTTTGTCCCTCTGCCAGTACCTTCATGTGTGCGGAGAGTGGTCTCAGCATGGTGGTGGCTGGTCCTGGAGTTCTTCGGCGGCCAGAGCCCTGGTCGGGGCGGGGAGGAAAGCTCAACCCGCTCCCCTCCAAGGGGCTCCAGGAAGGAACACCCAGGCGCGGGGGCAGAAGACTGCACTGTTCTCGTCCGGGATCTGGATTTTATAGTCTCTGAGTCTTGGCCGCTGATGGGATTACACGGCGCCAGGGGGCCAGGTGGTGGGTGTGACCCCCGCCTACTGGAATTTGGAGGATCTGGGTGGAAGATGCTCGACTCCAATTCGAGTAGGCTTGGAGGTCTCGGCCCCGGAACCCGCGTGGCTTTGTCCCTCTGCCAGTACCTTCAAGTGTGCGGAGAGTGGTCTCAGCATGGTGGTGGCTGGTCCTGGAGGTCTTCGGCTGCCAGAGCCCTGGTCGGGGTGGGGAGGAAAGCTCAACCCGCTCCCCTCCAAGGGGCTCCGGGAAGGAACACCCAGGCGCGGGGCAGAAGACTGCACTGTTCTCGTCCGGGATCAGGATTTTATCGACTCTGAGTCATGGCCGCTGATGGGATTACACGGCGCCAGGGGGCCAGGTGGTGGGTGTGACCCCCGCCTACTGGAATTTGGAGGATTTGGGTGGAAGATGCTCGACTCCAATTTGAGTAGGCTTGGAGGTCTCGGCCCCGGAACCCACGTGGCTTTGTCCCTCTGCCAGTACCTTCAAGTGTGCGGAGAGTGGTCTCAGCATGGTGGTGGCTGGTCCTGGAGGTCTTCGGCGGCCGGAGCCCTGGTCGGGGCGGGGAGGAAAGCTCAACCCGCTCCCCTCCAAGGGGCTCCGGGAAGGAACAGTATCTGCACTGTATCTATCTGAGAACAGTGCAGATACTGCACAGTATGCTAAAAATTTAGCTTCTATGTGACCCGGAAATTCCACTCTTGTCATCTACCCAAAGAACCGAAAACAGTAATTGGAAATATATTTCCAAATTGTCTAAATGGACATGTCTCTGTTTATTGCATCACAAGATAATATTCACAAAAGCTTATTCTGAAACAACCCAAGTATCTGAGAACAGATGACTGGATGAAATACAACACATCTACACAATGGAATGCTAAACAGTCACCGGGAAAAATGAAATCCTGAAATTCGCTTAAAAAAGGAGGGAAATGGATGACTGTAGCAATAGCACAGCGGGTAGGGCATTTGTCTTGCACGCGGCCGACCTGGGTTTGATTTCCAGCATCCCATATGGTCTCCCTAGCACCACCAGGAGTAATTTCTGAGTGCATGAGGCAGGGGTAACCCCTGTGAATTTCTGGGTGTGACCCAAAAAAAGAAGGGAAATGGAGAGTATCAGTCTGAGTGAAATGAGTCAGAAGGAAAGGGACAGATATAGAATAAATGCACTCTTCTGTGGAATATAAACTTTGGTATGAGATTAATATTCAATGTCAGGTATCAGGGTACAGTGGGACGGATCAATGGTTGGAAGCTTGCTACAAGTGTGTGGTTTGTGAAGGACAGAGAAGGATCAATATGACAGGAATAGTTAGATATGTTCACTGGATAAGAACTAAATGTAGAACAGCTGGAAAAGGGATATACACAATAACATTTCAGTGTCTGTATTGAAATCAATATACCTAAGTAGGAGACAGACAGAGAGACAAAGAGAGACACAGAGAACCCATACAGGCTCCTAGGGATCAATAAAGGAGAAGGATGGCTCACGTGATAATGATCAGATTCTGTAGTTGGGCTGTCTTTGTCCTTCTTGCCATAATCCCGTGCCTCCCCTCCCCTCTCTCTTTCCTTGCATATCTCTAAGTAAATTTCTTTAGATAATACTAACTTACTTCTCTGTTCATCCCCCCTTTCTTACTATTCACAGAGAAACTGAAAGTAGTTAGTCTCTGAGTTACACTTGGTCAGGTTTTCCCTCCTGCTGGGTGGAAAGATGTTTTCCAGACTTCTAACATGTATGACCAGAAATCAGAACTCAAGGATTTTTCCATTTGGAGAAGCCCATGTGCTCTCTTGAACACAGATCTCTTTCTCTCCACTTTCATTTCTCTAAGAAAATTTCTTTAAATAATGCTATTCTGCATCACTGAAAAAGTTAGAGTTCAAGCCATATGTTCCATAAAACGTCATTAATTTGATCATATTCATTACTTATTTACTTATAGTTGCCCTACTAACACAGTTATAGAATATACTTGTTAGCAGCTGTTAGACTCACGCCTGGTTTTTGAAAAACTCTTTATTAATTTAACAAATTTAATTTTTCTGTTTGTCGGCCATGTTGACCGCTTGTAAGGCGAATTCCCTACCGCTGTGCTATCGCTCCAGACCCGAGTTCGATTCCTCCGCCCCTCTCAGAGAGCCCGGCAAGCCACCGAGAGTATTCGATATGCCAGAAACAGTAACAACAAAGTCTCCAATGGAGACGTTACTGGGCCCGCTCGAGCAAATCGACGATCAACGGGAGGGCCTTTACCTTTACCTTTATCTCTCTCCTGGCGTTCCTCGCACATTCATGAAGGTGCTGAACCAATCGATCGTATTCCTCGTCAATGTTGTCAACAATGGCATCTTCCCATGTTGCCGCAATAGTACCAAAGAGTTCCCAGTTGATGGTCATTCTGGGAGTTCTCTTTTTGAACTTTGCAGCCCTTTCTCCCCGCTCTGTGAAGTAGAATTTTGCACGATGGAGACAGTGGTCCGATCCCGTTCGAAATTTTGGGACAAGAGCGACCTCGGTCTGGCAAAACCGTCGATTGAATATGATGTGGTCTATTTCGTTGTGGAATCGTCCACCGGGAGACTCCCATGTCCATCGTTTAGATTCTGCCTTCTGGGACTGTGAGTTACCATGAATGGTCTTGGTCGACATGATGAACGCAGACAGAGAAGTTCTTTAGAGAAAACCACACCTTCTACAATATCATTGTCAGTGATTTTAATGCCAAGATAGGACCGAGAAGATCAGCTGAAGTACTTCACATCGGGACCATGGCCTAGAATGGAACGAACAGGGTGAGAGACTTAAAAACTTAAATCCTCTTTTAGTTTGAAGGTTTTTACTATTTTTATTTCAGCGAATTAATTATTTATTGTATCACTTCTGCGTAATCTCAGCAAAGAATACTCAGCATCACCTTTTAATTTTTATACTTATAACTACTTGATTTGCCAATATTTTCCTGGGAAGCATCTACGTGAGCAATTCCTGAACACAGAGCCAGGAATAAGACCTCAGAATTGCTCCGTGTGGCTCAGAACTAAACCAAAAAGTCCATAAAATAATATGACTCATGAACCTGGTTTCTGAAGTGAAGTCCCAGGTTTCAACCCTGCGTTAGAGATGTCAAGAGGTTGAAGCCCCTGAGAGCCCAGAGGCTCTCCCTGCAGGGTGGGGACGGGGCTGCAGGGGGGCGCCAAGTCCCAAGAAAGAAAGGGTGCAGAAATAGGGGAAATAGGTGCAGAGAGGCAGAAATCTCCTCAGCATGGATTTCCTTCTTCACTAAAACTAAACTTTTTTCTCAAGAAAACGAAAATTAAAATAGATGTATGACAGAGAAGATTAAATTGTGTCCATGTATCATTTTTGAAGAACAATTATCATATTGACAAGGCAGTAAAACCTTTATGCAGGGGGTGTTTCTGGACTTCTTAATATCTCCAGTGAAAATCACTGGGGCATTAGGATGATTTTGTAATCTCATTGTGGCATCCCTTGGGGAGTAACAGAATCCCAGAAACAACTTCAAAGCCCAGGTGTGTCCAGATGTGTCCAGGCCATACAGATGTGGGGGGCCCTGAAGGAAAGGTCCTGAAAGGGCTTGGCCCTCCGTAGGGGGAGCTATGTGTGCACAGAGTCCTGGGACAGGGCAGAGTCTCATCTCCTCAAACAAGGATCAGAACGTGGACCTCTTCACTCCCCTTGAGAAAGGACATGGTGGCTTCCAACAGCCCCTTTTAAGGTTGGACCGGATTTTCATCTATGAATTCTCCATACTCATGAATACGCAAATTACACGAGGGACACTGAGTTAAATACAGATGTGTCTGTGTCCTGACAACATCACACAACAGACACAGCCACACCTTCAGAAGCCGCTGAGTGCGTAGTCCTCACCATTGACTGGACCTGGAGAATTCTCTTTCTGGTGGCAGTGGCTTCAGGTAAGCATCCCCATGCCGTAGGCTGAGAATACAGGGCCAGTCAAGTGGAGTCCACCCACTCCTGTCTGCTGTCCACAGGTGTGAACTCCCAAGTACAGCTTGTGCAGTCGGGAGCTGAGGTGGAAAAACCTGGGACATCAGTGAAGATCTCCTGCAAGGTGTCCGGATCCACCTTCACAAGCTATACGATGAGCTGGGTGAGGCAGGTCCCAGAACAAGGTCTTGAGTGGATGGGAAGGATACGAACTGACAATGGTGAAACAAGATATGCACCGAAGTTCCAGGGAAGACTCACACTCACTATGGACACGTCCAAGGACACAGCCTACATGGAACTGAGCAGGCTGAGCACTGCGGACAGGGCGGTGTATTACTGTGCGAGATACACAGTGTGACAACCACATCCTAAATATATCAGAAAACTGAGGGGGAGGCAGCTGTGCCGGGTGAGAAGACAACAGGGACGCTGATCCTCCTGACTTCCTCCTCAGAGAGTCAGGGTCTGAGACACAGAATGGGGCTCACAGTGCCAGGCTTTATCTGAGGGAAAGGCTCAGGATCTTTCTCTGTTCTTCAGCAACAGCCAAGAGGAAGATGGCTTCTCTCTAGAATACCTGCAGTTACTCATATATTCTTGTTGGACTGTACACTGGTGCTTCCAAGATGCTAGTGGAAGAATCACTTTTAAGTATGTGCTAGGGGCTTAGCAGGTTCTTGGACTGTTTCCTCAAGCACAGTCCTTCATTCCTGTATCATGTGTGGCTGAACTCCTTGAGTTTCACACTTGTCACAGGAGCTGACACATGTCAGTGTATGCTGGGACCATTGTAGATTTGGGACCATAGCTCCAGCTCCAGGAAAATCTTTGATTATTCTACATTTTAGGGCAAAATAAAGTTGTTCTTTGGAAAATTTAAGTAGACAGAATTCTGTGCTGAATTTCATTTCCTTTTCTCATCATCACACAGGTGGCACTTGGCAGGATATGGGACACAGGACACCAGCTGTGGGGAGGAGTGACCCAGGTGCATCAGAGTCAGTTCCTGACCTCCTTTCTGTGGTTTGTGCCCGAAAAGACAGGGACATTCCTGGGACTAATGTGTAAAATAGAAATAATCTGAGCATCTAAATATGCACATATTCATCTGCTATGGGCCAGCAGAAAATCCTTTTCTCTAAGATGGAATCCAGGTATTGGGAGATCCTTTCTGAGAAGCTGTGGGTGAGGCCCCGCGTGCGTATTTGCATCTCTGTATCCCTGAGCTGGAATCTCGCCACTGGACACTGGGAGTGGAGAAGGTGACACTAGGATAGTGGCCACGGTCAGAAGTCGAGGGCCACATGGTTTTGTGTAATGAGAGCTTGTCTGTGTTCTTTCCCAACCTTGCTGTGACTTTCCTCTGTGACCATGATGCAGTAGCGTGAAACCTGCATGCCTCTCCATCTGTCCTTGTGACCTCTGACCTTGGAAGCGTCGTGTCTGTGCTGAGGAGAAGCTTCACTCGGAGAGTGCAGAGACACCAGGGGGATGTGTGCAGAGGGACTGATCCCCCAGGGACAGCAGCAGCGGTTCCTGAGCAAGGTTAAGGGGACCCTGTTGGCAATGCCAGAACTCAGCGCTTCCATCTAAGGGGAGGTGGCACCTTAATTCACCTGCCATAAAATTCTTAGGAAATAAATGCCATTTATTGAGCCAGAATTTGAAGTATTTTGAGATGAAAACTGAATAACCAAATAATTCCACTTGGTATCTGTTGGCAGAGAGGACAAATTGAGGGAGAAATGCCTGGACATTTAACATTAAAAATGAGCCTGGTTTTAAGAACCTAGAGAAAAGTGACAAAATCCAGAAATAAAAACTAGAGAATAGGGGGGTGGAGTGATAGCACAGAGGGTAGGGCATTTGCCTCCCACACGGCCGACCCAGGTTCAATTTTCAATATCCCATATGGTCCCCCAAGCACCACCAGGAGTAATTCCTGAGTGTATGCGCCAGGAGTAACCCCTGTGTATAGCCGGCTGTGACCCAAAAAGCAAAAACAAACAAACAAACAAACAAACAAAAAACTCCTAGAGAATTGGTACTTGGAGAGTCCATAGAGACTCCATGCAGATATGATAGAGGCCACGGGACGGGCTGCCACATTTGTGTTTGCCCACAGTCTTCCTGGACATCTGGGGGAATCAGAAGATGTAATATTAGTTTTACTTATTATGCTGTCCCAACATCTCAATATTTCCCTTTGAAATATCCCCAAATTACATTAGTAGTGGTGAATTAACAATTAATGAATCAGGGACAGAGCTCAGAGCCCCTACAATGACACCCTTTGTTCCCTCCCCAAGGGGAACATTGCCCACCCTCAGCCCTACTGATTCTTAGACAATCCTGTTAGAATTTTTTCCAAATATGGGGCACAAATACGCTCCAACAGAGGACAAGGACGATCAAGAAAACAAAGGCCTAACTGAGGGCCAACTTCGAGAACATGTGTGCCAACACAAATCTATGACACGCAGAGGAACTTTCACAGGAGGTCAAGTCCAGAAATGAAGCTTCTGTGACGGTTCCTAGTGCACTTTTCCTGTCTGTGCCCCCAAACAGACACCTATGTGGGTCCCTGAATATTAAGCTGCTGCTTACTATGGTGCAGTATCTCAGTCTACCCTCATTTCTTTCTCTGTACATGGAGCCAATCTCAGATGTCACCCGGAATTTCCCAAGTTCTCAAGGCAACAATCACTGTCCTCATCATCTTAAAGTTCTTACTTATTCCTAATCATGGAATACATTTCCCTGGGAGACACTATGTCAATAACACAGTGCTGCACTGGAGCAACTAGATGACGGCGTGGAAATTTCCATAATGACACAGTGGAAACCCACCTCAGTAAGGGCAGGAGAGAGTAAAGACCCCCCAGCCGTTGGCAGAGAGGAATTCAAGGACTGACTACTGTGAAGGGGATCTCTTTCATACTAATGGAATCAGCTAAAAGAGGCCTCTGCAAAGTTGGGAAAAGATCTTGGAATTATTATTCTCCTGGTATACTGGTTTCATGTTGCTAACAACGGACTATCCCACCTTAATTACTCAAATGACAATGTTGATAATGGTAATCAAATTCATGGATCAAAGTTAAATTCTCCTCTGCATAATATATCAAAGAAACTTACTTGTGTGTAATCAGCTAATGTATCTGCTGGATACCTACATTCAGAATTTTTACAGGTTCAAAATCATATGGGAGATGACTGAGAAAATTGTACCGTTCCAGTAGAAACATCAAAAAACACATAAAATTCTTTCATAGATCGATTATTTGGTTTTACTTTTTACATTGCTGAGCGTCTGGGGTCTCTGAACTGGTCAGGGGGACCCCCACATGCGGGACACCTGGGTGAGGAGTGACAGTGATCGCCGGACGCCCCTGAGGACAGTCCTGTCGGTTTGGAGGGACGAGGGATTGGGCTGACCATTAGGGAGACAGACTCAGAGCGTTGGGGCCCCGAGAGCCCCTTGGGGATGAGCCTGATCCAGATGCGGGTCCGGGTCCAGCTAGGCCAGGCGGGGAAGGCCACAGGCAGTGCTGCCCACGCGGCTCCACGGGCCTGTGGCCCCACGTGGACAAAGGGAGCCCCGGGAGAGGCCCGAGCGGACACCAGCTCCCGCTGACCCGTCCAGCGGTCGCACCAGACTCACGCTGTCAGGGGTCCTGGGCCCAGAGAGAGTTAGTCAGAAGGGGAGGGAGGAGCAGGGGCGGGGCTTCCCGACCTTTGCCCCTGACCCAGAAACAGCTTCTGAGGGCCTGCAGCAGGAGTGGAGGTTCCAGAACTTTCCAGGGCTCCTGTGCCAGGTACCAGCTGCTCCCTCCTTCTACCCTCCTCCCTACATCTCTCCCTCTCTCTCCCTCTCCCTCTCTCTCCCTCTCTCTCCCTCTCTCTCCCTCTCCCTCTCTCTCCCTCTCTCTCTCCCTCTCTCTCTCCCTTTTCCTCTCTCTCCCTCTCTCTTTCTCTCTCTCCCCTCTCCCTCTCTCCCTCTCTTCATCTCTCCCTCTCTCTCCCTCTCTCTCTCCCTTTCTCTCTCCCTCTCTCTCTCCCTCTTACTCCCTCCCCCTCACATCCTCCCTCTCTCCCCCTCTTCCTCACTCTCTCCCTCTGTCCCCTTTCTCTTCCTCACTCCTCCTCTCTCTCTCCATCTTTCTCCCTCTCTATCTACCTCTCTCCCTCCATCTCTCTTTCCCTCTCTCCCTCCCCCTCCCTCTCTCTCTCTCTCTCTCTCACCATTAGTCCTTGTGTCTTTACCTCCCTCCTCTCCCTTGCCCGTGGAACTTCACTGAGGGACCAAGGTGTGGGTGCTGGGCACTGGGGCTCAGCTGAGGCACTGTCTGCCCTTGTGCTTTCCTCCTTTCACCTGCCCTGCAGGAGACCACTGTGTATTCTCTCTGCACCCCACTGCCTGCATGGGAAGTTCTGTTCTGCTGTGGCTTTCTGGAAGGCACCAGAGCAGGGCCTGGGCCAGCACCTCTTGCGACTGGCCAGTCTCGGAGGCAGGACCTGTTTGCACTGGCCGCCCTCCTGGAACATAACCCATGATCCCAAAACAAGGAGGAAGTTACGTGGTCCCTGTATTTGTCTCCCTGTCCCGATTTCTATGGTCCTTGCTCTGTTGCCCTCTCCCCAGATGGGTGGATTGAGCAGAATGGGTGCTCCCACTTCAGACAGCAAGAGAGATGTTGGGCACAGGGACATGAATTCTGTGCAGCCACTTCGTGCTCTGGCATGTCCAGACTCATCCTGCTGCTCCTCTACTGGTTCCCCATTGTAGGGGGCTTGGAGTGTGCAGTTGAGTGGGGTACAGACCCATGGTCTCATCAGACCCTTTCTTTCTGTCCCTGCACATGCGGGGCTCCATCCTCCCCCAAACTGGTACCCCATTGGTCTCAGAGATTGGGGTCATTCTGTGGATTATCTCCATGGTAGTGAGTGGATCATCTCTGTGGCACCTGGCAGGGACCAGGAGGCTTGGCTGCTGCTTCTGAGTTAACACAAGAATATAAACATTCTGAGGTACTCCAGGGTTGGTCAATTTTGGGGAGAGTCTGGGCCCTAGCAGGGTGCTGAGCCCTTGGGCAGCATCAGAGAAGGAGAGTGTGGGTCAGGATGCAAGGTCAGAGCTCCTTTACAGCAGGCCCCTCAGCTTCCCTCATTCCATCTCTGTCACAAGTTCCCAGAAATATCCAGAGCTCTCGCTCTTCTTCTGCCTGTCACACTTGCTTCTGAAAAAAGAAAGGTTTGTGTAACACCAATACTTAAGGAAGACATACATTGTGTGGGCTCTTTAACCAATGGTTTTAGATCACTTACTTATATCTCAATCTGGACTGATAAGTAAAA